CTTGGGAGGGTGGAGGGACAGCGCAGGAGGGGAAGACCCTCTATGAGATGGATTGATTCGGTGACTGGGGTAATCGGGATGGGTGTGTCAGAGGTGGTGCGGTTGGCAGAGGATAGAGCAGGGTTTAGAGCTGTTGTGCATAGGGTCGCTATGAGTCAGAAACGACTCGATGGCACATAACAACAACAAACTCCATTTAAAATCACATCCCAAACCAGGTAATACTTGTTGTTGTCAGGTGCCATCAAGTTGAGTAGGACCCATAGTGACCCCACGAACAAAAGATTTGAACCCTGTTCTATTCTGTGCCATCCTCAAACTTCCTGACACATAAGAGAATACTTAATTCAACATAATCTGTGTGAGATTTGTATGCTGAAAACTATAAAACACCAAGAGAAATTATACTTCTAAACAGAGAAACGTGCTCCTGGATTGTAAGGCTCACTTTTGTTAAAAATTATTAGCAATTTTCCCCCAAACTGACCTATGTAATGCATACTTGAATTGTTAAGTCAATTACCAATATAATTCTACTTAAAATCTCAGAAGTCTTTTTACAATCTGATTGTAAAATTTATAAGGAATTACAAAAGAACCTAGAAGAGACAAAATAATCTCGAAAATGCAGAACAAAGCTGGAAGACTTATTATTCTACTTCACCTTAAGACCCACTATAGAGCAAGAGTAATGAAAACATAAATTACTGGCATAAGGACATATCTACAAGTCAATGGAGCAAACCAGAAATAAACTTGTCTATGTAATCAACAAATTTTCAACCAAGTGGCCAACATAATTTATAACTTGAGTACATGACCTCTTAAATTACTCTTCATCTCTGTAGTTTGGCTTCAATGCAAACCATTTTTTAAGGTTAATTTTACCAAATAAAAAAAAACCTGCCCAAGCTATGAATGGCTGCAACTGAACATACTCTAGGAGAGACTGCCCCCTTGTGCCAAGCAACAACCTTCACCATGCTAAGAACATTATTACACAGAATGGAAACCAGTTTGCTCTGTAAACTTTCATTCAAATCACAATTTAAAAAAACTAAAACACTAATAATTCTTTTCAACATGAGAAGCACCTAGGTTTCTACAAAGGTCTTGATCTTTCTGTGTTCTAATTTCAACAGCTTGTATATAAAGTGGTAACTTGTAAAGAAAAAGAAATTTAACAGTTTTAATAGGCTCAAACGCCTCATCACTGCCAAGCTGAAAACAACTCACAGCTGACCCTCTAAAAGTAGAGTTCTGAGGCTGCAAATCAAACGAAAGAAGACCTTCATGTTTCTCCTACAGAGGGCCTGGTAGACTGTTGCACCTCCAGACAGGTGCAGTGTCTGGATTAATAGTGCAACTTGAAAAGGACTAAAAGCCATGACTCTGAGTAGCAAATTATCAATGTACTCAGGATACTAGTTACTGAAGGGCTCAGAGGCTGAGCTAGAGAGAATTTTCTTATCCTTAAGCTTTGCAACAAAATACAGAATGTTAAAGAAGTCACTACATCTATTTTATTTTGTAACCACTTTAGCCCATAATTTGAAAAACAGAGTAGGCAGACACTTCCTATGGTAATTTACTTTTAGAAATATATAAACAGTTCAACCAAATTTTAAAGCATTTTTTCTGATTCTAAAAACTGGACATTTTCTTTGGATGTGGTATGTGGTCTTATAAAGCTTCTTGGAACAGAAAAATAGTAACTATCATTCAACTATGATTCATTTTCAGTATTATTAAGAACATAAATTACTGGGAAAAGTATGAGAGCAACAGACTTGCTAAAGAACATTTAAGGCAATAAGAAACACATTAAAGGTAATAAGTCATGTGAATGGAGACTTATGATACTTCACAAAATAACTGTCTTTCTTAATTATGGCCTGAAAAGACGGAATTCCATTTCTATTGAGTAGATTCAATGTTGTCCCTTGTGAAGTGCCATCAAGGCAGTTCTAACATCAACCCCAAATAAAACACTGCCTTGTTACTGCACCATAGTCTCAAAAGCGGTTTTGTTTGAGCTCACGGTTGCAGCCACTGAGTCTGTGCATCTCCTTGACAGTCCTCCTCTTTTTAATCTGGCCCCTGTCTTACCTTGACTTTCTCCTAAGTGATAACATGCCCAAGTGCTTCTAAAGCCCACGCTGGTTGCACTTCTTCCAAGATATATTTGTTCTTCTGCCAGTCACATATTCAATACTCTTTACTAAACCACAATTCAAAAGCATCAGTTCTTTGGTCTTCCTTACTCACTTGCCCAATGTTCACAGGATATGAAGTGACTGAAAACAACCTGGTTCAGATCTGGAGCACTTTTGTCATTAAACCGACCTCCTTGCTCTTTACACTTTAAAGAAGATTTGCTTATTTCAATACCGCATTTGCTTTCTTGTCTGCTGCTCTCATGGGGGACTGCAGATGCAAGTAAGATTAAATCCTTGACAATTTCAATCTTTTCTCTGTCTATCATGATATTGCTTATTGGTTCAACTGTGAGGATTTTTTTCTGTCTTTACATTGAGGTATAGTCTGTACTGAAAGCCAGAGTCTTTAAGTTTCATTAGTGTTTCAAGTTTTCTGCAAGCAAGGCCTGTCATCTGCATATTGCAAGTTGTTTGAGTCTTCCTCAAAGAGTGATAGTAAATTTTTCTTCATACAGTCCAGTCTCCCAGATGATTTACTCAGCATAAAGATAGAATAGGTATAGTGAGAGGATAAGACCCTAATGCACACTTCCCCTGATTTAGTCTATCTTTGCTCTGTTCAAATGACAGCTTCCTGTTCTTTGTACAGGTACTGCATGGGCACAATCAGAAGCTCTGGAAATGCTATTCTCTGAAATGCTATCCATAATTTGTTATGTTAATTAAATGCACGAACATTTACAAAGCACTTAATAAATATCATAAATATTTGTAACCTAAGACTATGAAAACCTACATAGTATGCATATGCATATATTCAGTACTACTTACTTTCGAAGGTGTTCATGTTCTTTCAAAAACAATTCAGTTCTTCTATTGTTTACCCCAGACCCACTTTTATATGACCTAGGACAGAACAGAGAAATTTTAATATTTGGCAGAGTTCACAAAACAGATTATGTAAACAAATTGAGGCTCTTCACAATTATGAGTAAGCAATTAAGTGTTGAAATATTTTTCTTCTTTTAAATATATCTTTTACAGATAAATGTAAATAAACTAGCCCAAAAGTTTCCTGTCTTTCACCAAAACAGTCTTCATTCATAAATGAGACCCTCACTTGTGTAACATTTGGTCTCTATTCACCTGAAGCAACACAGGATTAAGGAGAGGCAGGAGGTGGTGATTGTTAGTTGCTGTGAGTTGAGTATGACTCAGAGTGACCCTATGAACAACAGATCTGAACCCTGTCCTGTACCACTGTCATGATCTCTGACATACTCAAGTCTATTGCTGACGTCATGGTGTCTATCCACCTAGTTTAGAGTCTTCCTCTCTTTTGCTGACCTTCCACTTTTTCAAGCATGATGGTCCCTCTCCAAAGAACAGACTACCCTAGCAACATGCCCAAAGTATGTAAGACAAAGTTTTATCATCTTTGCCTCTAAGGAGTACTCTGGCTGCACCTTCTCCAAGACCTATCTATTCTTTTGGCAGCCCGCAGGATATAAGCACTCTTCTCTAATACTCCAGCTCATTCTTATTCTGTCATCCTTATTCATTGTCCGGTTCTCAGATACACAGCAAGTGACTGAAAAGACCATGGCCTGAACCAGGCATACCTCAGTTTTCAAAGTGAGGTTTTACTTCTACTCTTTTAATAATTTGGTGATGTCCCTAATTTTCCAAGTGTAATGTCTCCTGACAGCTGGTACCAACAGTGTTGAATGTGGATCCAAGAAAGGTTAAATTGTTGATAATTTTTCAATTTTTTTATCCATCAATATATTGTCATGCTGTCTACTAGAGCAGTGGTAATAATTTTCTTTTTCTTTTTAAATTTTCATTTTCTTGACATTGAGATGCAATCCACATTGGATGCTACATTCCTTGCTCTTCTGCAGCATGTGCCTAAAGTCCTCCTCACTCTGGGCAAAGTTGTGTCGTCTACATAACGCAGGTTATTGATGAGTCTTCCTCCAATCCTGATGCCACATACCTCTTCATAGAGTCTAGTTTCTTGAATAATCTGCTCAGCATACAGATAAGGCCACCATATCACCCCACAAGCAATGTATGTGTAAAACTGCTGGTTTATCTATGTTTTTCTGGAAAAAAAGAATCTAAGCAGAATCTGACTTGGACTCTGAATTAAGCCAAGACAGTCAAAATTGGCTGGAGCTAATACTAAAACTAGAAGAGGAAGGAAATAAGATTCTAGAAAAGTAGATCAGGATCTATTAGAGCAGCAATGTTTAAAGAACTATAAATCGAAAATTACAAATCCTGAAATCTAAATCCTTATTCAGTTTTCTGTTAACCATGGATATAATTTAAACCTGAATAAACATTGAGAAAACAACGTTAAAAGGTAACTTACTCAATATCCTTTCGTACTGATCCCATAAGATTCTCCCTTTCTCGTACTGCTGTAAAGTTTGCTTTGGTTTTATGGAATTCATGTGTATAATCCTGTAATAAATCAACATTCAATCTCAAAATGAAACATTTTAAAGCTATCATTATATAAAACTTATATAAAAAATAAAATTTGCTATTTAAGAAATCAAATTGCCTAAAGTAAAAATAACTCAATTTTCCTGAAGAGTGTACAACTTTCAAGTGAAAACAATTCAGTGGTCAGGTAATGTATGCCACTAAGTCAGAACCAACACATAGTTGATCCTCCAGTAGATTTTCAGAGGCTGTAAATCACAGGGAAGGAGATTAATCCTTTTTCTTCCATGGAGCAACTGATGGATGTGAACCATATGACTCTGGGTTGACAGCACATTGGACCATCAGAGCTCCATAAGAGTGACACTAAAAATTGTAAAATATCTTCAAAGAACCTAAGATAAACCCCTAGAGGACCCTTCTACTTGGTAATATATTGAATAGGCTACCTAAATTAAATAGGGTCAATTTTAAAATTTTATCCTTTTGGAACTTTTATAGAGATTTTATTCATAAACGAATCAAAGGAAGCACAAAATCAAGAGAAATGTAAGGAAAATTCTTTTTTTAACATTTTCCTCCACTTTTGAATGACCCTATTTAAAAGGTAAGGAATTTTGTTATTCAGAGAAGTATATGAAGAAGACAAAAATCATAACCCCATCTCCCAAAGAATCTCACTGACCTTTAAAAAACTAAAATAGCACATGAACAGGATAAGAATATTAAAAAAGGACAAACGCAGAAAAAGACCTAAGCCATGTTATTTCTTTCTTTCTTTCTTTTTTATTATTTTTTGTGCATGTACCGTCAAACCAGATCTGACTGGTACAGGAGGAGATTGTCTCTCCATCTCTAGCAAAGCATCGGGTGGATGAATTGACACCTTTGAGCTGTGGTGCTGGAGAAGAGTACTGAATATACCATGGACTGCCAAGAAAACAGATTCATCCTAGAGAGGGTTAAACCAGGCTGCTCCTTGGAGGCAAGGATTCTGGGGCTTCGCCTGACATACTTTGGACATGTTGTAAGGAGAGACAGGTCTTTGGAGAGGGACATCATGCTTGGGAGGGTGGAGGGACAGAGCAGGAGGGGAAGACCCTCTATGAGGTGGATTGATTCAGTGACTGGGGTAATCGGGATGGGTGTGTCAGAGGCAATGAGATTGGCACAGGATAGAGCAGGGTTTAGGGCTGTTATACATAGGGTCGCTATGAGTTGCAAACGACTCGACGGCACATAACAACAACCACCACCTCTGGGATTGCAGTGTACTTTCTTGCCACTAGTCCACCAGAGCTCCCTTTAGGCATGCTATTTCATGGCTCAAAATAATTGTTTTCTTTCAGGAAATACGTTTATATATACACACACTCATCAAAGGGTCACTATGAGTTGTACTCGACAGCACCTAACAACATTATTACTTAACGTTAAAGAAATCATAATGCTGTTCATCTTGCTTTCTGTAGTTAATGAACCATCAAGCAATCTTTCCATCAGCAAAGCAAAGAGAAATCTATGTCATTCTCTTTTATGCTATTGCTGTAAGTTGCACCCAGTCATTCTGACTCATAGTGACTCCACGTGCTCGAGGGCAGAACTGCTCCACTCGGTTTTACTGGCTGTGATCTAATGGAAGCAGAGAAGCAGGCTTAACTTCCACAGTACTGCTGGTGGGTTCAATGGACCGACCTTGAGGTTAATTGAACAGAATTCTCTCTTAAGACGATATCATAATTGAATATATTCTCTACAAATGGGCATTTTTTAGTTGTTTTCATTTTCCTGGCAGTTTAAAAAATCCAGCAATAAACATTCTTGTACATATATTTCAAAAAACTTTTTTAAAAAGTAAATTGGAAGAATAAATGCCTATCAGCATAATGGGATCAAAGAATCTCACATTTTAAATTTTCATAGTAGTAAACGAAAACAAACTTTTATAATATCACATTTGGTTTTCAGTCTATGTAGGGGACAAGGCTTTGGAAGTGAGGTAATGAGGGTTGGGTAGAGACAGCAAGAAATATGCCCAGAAGTAAAGAGGTGGCAGATATTAACTTCACCTAAGGCGTGAGGAGTGAGGTCAGAGAGATATCAAGTGTGGTCACCTATGTTTACTGCAGCACTATTAATAATAAAGAGTTTCAAACAACCCAAATGCCCATCAATGGACAAATGACTAAAGTGTGTACATTCACAAAGAATAGTACTACGCATCACAATAAAAATGTTCAAGAATTAATATACAAGGATAAAGCGAGAACAAATCATGAAAGGATAATTATGGTATGTTGTTGGGTACTGCTGAGTCAGAACAGCTGATCCTCCAGTAAGTTTTCAGAGTTAGTAAATCGCATGGGAGACTGTCCACCTTCGTCCCGCAGATAAGCTGGTAGGTTTGAACCATGTGTCTTTGAGACCGCAATGCAAGTTCTTATCACCAGGCCACCAGAGCTCAATATGGCTGGGTTTTTCCCCCAAATACTAGTGGCTTCATTATGGTATAAGATCATTAATTAAAAAATTCAAGGAATATTCAGGAGCTCCGTCATTGAATAAAGCTCCTTCCTCTTCCCAAAAAAAAAAAAAAAAAAATTCAAGGAATAGCTTTAGACAGAAAGAATCAATCTTAGAGGCGTAAAAGAGATGAGGACTGAGGGAGAGGGAAATAAAACCAAATTTAAAAAAACCAAAAAAAACTTTTGTTGCCAAATACATAAAATTAGATGATATTATATAGTGCATCTCCCTAGTATTCTCATCTCTACTTCTTAGCTATAAATTGAGGGAGTGTGCCAGGGCAATGGAAAAAGAATAACTTTTTTTTTTTTTTAAAAAAAAAGATATGAGTTGCAAGTGAGGAAGTGGAGGGGTCAGAAGGATGGCCAAGTACAGGAGTGAGGAGGAGGGAGAGGGGTCAACAGGATGCTTATGTGTGAAGAGGCAGGGCAGGATCAGGAGGATACCCAAGTGTAGGGAGTTAAGAGGTGGGAGGGCCCAGGAAAAGGGTCAGGTGTGGTGGGTGAGGACGTTGGCTGCTTTAGGGTTGTTGGTGTACTGCTGAGTCAAAACTGATCCATACCCACCAACAAACAAATGCATAGAGCTGTGGTACACAATGGAATTCTACGCTGCATTGAAAAACAAGGAACTCATGAATTATTATACAAAATGGGAGACCCTGGAGGACATTATGCTGAGTGAAAGATCTTAGTCACAAAAAGTGATCTGGGGGGTTGGGGGGAGGGAAGAATATGTGCAACAATGAACGATTGGAAACCCAAGTTCTTTATAAACTTCCATTAAAATATCAATTAAAAAAGATTCATAGGTATAAAAATATTTCTGTATTTAAGATTGGCATAATAATAAATTTTGAAGAAATAGCATATTTCAGCTAACAGATGCTGCCCTGGACGTGCTCACCAAGTTGTGCCAAGAAATCTGGAGAACAACCACTTGGCCAATATTTGTTCCTATCTCAAAGAAAGGTGACCCAACAGAATGTGGAAACTACAGAACAATCTCACTGATTTCACATGCAAGCAAGATTTTACTGAAGATTATCAAAAAACGACTGGAACAGCACATCAGCAGAGAACTACCAGAAGTCTAGGCTGAGTTTAGAAGGGGTCCTGGTACTAGGGATATTGTAGCTGACGTTAGATGGATCTTAGCTGAAAGCAGAGAATACCAGAGGAATATCTATCTGTGTTTCATTGACTATGCAAAGGCATTTGACTGTGTGGATCATAACAAACTATGGCTGACTCTGAGAAGAATGGGAATCCCAGAACACT